GTTCAGTGCAGGGTACTGGGTGGAGGCCGGCTAGTGATGGCTATTTAACAGTCGAATGGCCTTGAGATAGAAGCTGTTTTTCAGTCTCTCGGTCCCAGCTTTGCTGCACCTGTACTGACCTCACCTTCTGGATGATAGTGGGGTGAACAGGCCGTGGCTCGGGTGGTTGATGCTCTTGGCAGTGTGTCCTCGGTGATGCGTTGGGAAGACCGCACCACCCTCTGGAGAGCCCTACGGTTGCTGGCGCGGTGCATTTGCCATACCAGGCGGTGATACAGCCCGACAGGATGCTCTCAATGGGCCTGTAAACTTTGGTTTAGCTCAAATATACTGTATCTCCCTAAATCTTAATGCTAATGGTAGAATGTGGACATTGTTGCTTGGATACAAAAGAATGTTTTGGAGGAAAGCCTCATTTAAAACTCCTGGAATGTTTTGAATCAGAAAAGCTCAGCTAACCTTGAATATTTGCTAAGTTGAATGCACACTAGCTAGGTAATGATTGAAGATTTATTTGAATGTGTTGAAATGATGGACTGTGGGGAAAACAAGGTAGACATATCAGAGCGATATATTTAGACAGTTTGGTTAATTGAAATGGATGAAATATTTGAGTTTTACTTAGCTATTTCACAAACTCTGGCTGACATTTAATTGTAATGACATGGCTATTCTAGCCAAAGGTTCTCCTGCGTTATCTAGCCAGATAGCTAACAGGCTTTCATATGAGTACCATGTTGTTGTTCATCCTCCAGGCGTCCCTGACCCCGGTGAAGGCTGGCGAGGGGAAGGAGGAGGAGAAGGAGAAGCCCAAGCCCAAAGAGACCATGGGCTCCAGTCTACTGGAGAACTGGAACAAGGGAGAGGGCCTAGGCTATGAGGGCATGGGCCTGGGCATCGGCCTCCGAGGAGCCATCCGCCTGCCCTCCTTCAAGGTACCACCAGACACTTTTAGGATTGACTAAGAATATGTCTAAAGGTCTCTGGCGCTTTGGAAAATAGTTATATAATTTTATGTTTGGCATAGTGCCTTTGTCACATCAGTGGGAGAGATTATGAATGTGTTTGTGTGTGTTCAGGTGAAGAGGAAGGATCCTCCTGATGCTGCCTCCACTGGGGACACTAAGCGAGCGCGGCCCTCCACGCTGGTGGATGATGAGCTGGAGGACATAGCAGAGCTCCCAGAAGATGGGTCCAGGGTGGACGAGGACAGTGCAGCTTCTCGGAGACGACATGCCCGGCCACTGGAGCTGGACAGTGAGGGAGAGGAGAAGGTAGAGACCTCTGGAAAGGAGGAGTCCCTGTCCGACAGGGAGGAGGAGCCTGACGAGACGGAGGTCTCTGACAGGTTGTCGTCGGCCAAGGTGAGCTGTCAGTCCAATTACCTAGAATGGGAGATGAAATGTTGACCACTACAACCTTCAACAGGTGCTTCAGCTCATTGGGAGAAGACAACCTGAGGCATCATACTGTAGAACCATTTTTTTTTTTACAATAGCTTTTAACCTCTGGAATTGAACCTTTTCAGGAGAGTGGAGAGGAAGAGGATGATGACGAAGATGAGGCAGCCTCATCCAGTGACGGTGAATCATCTGAGTCGTCGGATGAGGGTAAATACACGCTGATGTCAATGACCGTAGTTAGTTATTTGGTTCTCTGTGTGTAAACGCTGCCTCTGTAATTGTCCTATCTCTATGTTTCTCTCTCCTCCTCGCTCCTTCAGACCTTGCCAGTTCAGCATCCTCTAAAGTCGACTCTGACTCCTCTGCGAGTGGGGACTCCTCCGAATATGAATCCAGTTCAGAAGAGGAGGAGGAGGAGGAGGAGGAGGAGGCGGCGGTAGACGTGGAGAGTCTACCGGATAAAGACGAGGACCGAGTTCGGACCTCTTCATCCTCCTCCTCTTCGTCGTCCTCATCTGAGGTGGAGGTGGAGCCCAAGGCCCCCAGCACGCCCCTAGGTCCTCCCCCAGAGGACGAGCCCTCAGAGCTGGCTGATTTAGAGGAGGACCAGAGGCCTGGGGAGAGGCTGAAGCTCAAGCCCAACCACAGAGCCATCAGTGAGGGGGAGGAGGCAGCGGAGCCTGGCCGGACCAGCCTGGAGGACCTCCGGCCCCCTTCACCCAAAGGAGTCCCAGGTCTTAACCCTCTCCTATTACCTAACCACACAAGCTTCATGTTTCAGTTTCCGTTTCAGATGTTGCACTCTGCATATTGCTTTTAACTGACAGTTTGTCTTGACATGTTGGTTGTCTTTCAGCTGAGGAGCAAGACATTGACCTGGGAGTCACCATCCCTGTATTTAAGATGGATCCCCAGGACGATGTTACTATCCTGCGGCCGCCCACGCCAACAGGCTCCCTGGCTGACAGCGACCAGGACACTCGACCCAAGGCCCCCACAGAGGACGAGGATCTGCCCTGTACGCCAGGTAGAGGGGCTCCTGCATCCCTGGAGCCCGACACAGCCCTCCCTAGATCCCTAATAGTCCCATCTATGCACATCCCCCTCCCCACTACCCCGGCCATGGAGGGCCACTCCCTGCTGCTGCCTCCTCCCGGCCCCCTGCCGGACCTCCCCCTCCCATTTAGGGCCAGGCTGTCCACAGACGAGGATGTGCCCCACACCCCTGGCAGGGACCTGATGGACCGGGCAGGGGGCCTGGGTAAGTCCCAGAACAGCACAGAGAACGTGCCCGTCACGCCTGGCAGTGATGCCCCTCTGACTGGCAGCAGCCTGGCCAGCCTCGGCTCCCCCCACATATCCGGCAGCCCCTTCTCCTACCCTGCCCAGTCTCCCGTCCTGAGCGCAGGTATCCCCCGAACCCCCGGTAGAGATCTGACCTTCACCCCTGTCTTCCCAGACCACACAGCCCTGGCTGCTGGCCTGCCCATCCACTGGAAAGCCTCTTCAGAAAGCCTGCTGTTCAGCACCTTGGCCAACCAGACCCTGCCCCATGGCTCCCTCCAGGGAGAGGCCTTAACCAGCGTGCCAAAAGACCTGCCTGCTGTCCCAGTCTTAGACCTCCCTGTGCCCCCTGACGCAACCCCGCCTAAGAGGAAGCCTGGGCGACCCAAGAGTAAAAAGGCTGCAGCGCTGACCTCTCCTAAGACTGAGTTTATAGAGCTCTTGGTGACTCCCACCTCCATGCCCGCATCGTTGCCTCATGATGCCCAGCTCAGAGAGTTCTCTGCGGACACGGTTGCTGCAGCCACTCTTCCTGACATCCCCAGCTGCGCTGGGCTAGACTCCTCCACAGTGGGCCTGGACTTCAGGGTAGGGGAGACGGAGCTGCATACGGTTTTGCCCCCCGATGACCGGTTCCTCCCCTACAACGAAGAGGAGCACATGCAGAAGCCTGCCCGTAAGGCGCGGCGAGGGTGGGAAGAACTGCTGCTGGCCAGCCACTCCCCCGTGACCACGCCACCGTGGCCCCACTACGTTCCGCGCTCAGAGTTTGAGGAGATGACCATCCTGTACGACATCTGGAACGACGGCATCGATGAGGAGGACATCCGGCACCTGCAGGTCACCTACGACAAGATGCTGCAGCAGGACAACGGCAACGACTGGCTCAACGACACACTGTGGGTCCAGCACCCTCATATCCTTTACTACTGGCCGTTACTAATATTACTGCCAATATACTGCTAGTGCATTACTAATTGCTGTTCCTTTATTGTCCCTTTGTTACTGGTCTTTTAGTATTGCTCAGTCATCAAGCATTTTAAAAAGTAGTAAATTAGAAATGCTTGGTCATGGTTTTACCAACCCTAGGTCTTACCTTCTCCAAAAGCCTTTTTGTTCCCTTGACTCCCCCTGTACCTACCAACATCCCAGCGGTGAAGAGGAAGAGGAGGGACGATGGCATGAGGGATCATATGACTGGCTGTGCCCGTAGCGAGGGCTACTACAAGATCGACAAGAAGGACAAGATCAAATACCTCAACAGCAACAAGCACCTACTGGAGGAGGGGCCTGTAGACATGCAGGTGGGTTTTAGCAGTGGGTTGATGTGCTTGAGTTCACATCAGCAGGGTGTCTGTTCATCTGTTTGTGTCTTGATGCATCTGTGTTTGTCTAAATGTGAAGTAGGAGCTCATTCCTCTCTCTCTCTTTTTTTCTCTCTCTCTCTCTCTCTCTCTCTCTCTCTCTCTCTCTCTCTTTCTTTCTTTCTTTCTTTCTTTCTTTCTTTCTTTCTTTCTTTCTTTCTTTCTTTCTTTCTTTCTTTCTTTCTTTCTTTCTTTCTTTCTTTCTTTCTTTCTTTCTTTCTTTCTTTCTTTCTTTCTTTCTTTCTTTCATCCCCCCCCCCCCCTCCAGGGCATGAGTATTCCCGCACAGCCCCTAGTCTCCACCAGAGCTGGCTCTGAGCGTCGGTCTGAACAGCGCCGCCTGCTGTCCTCTTTCAGCTGTGACAGCGACCTGCTCAAGTTCAACCAGCTGAAGGTACCAAAGGCCAAACACAGCCCACACACAACTACTGTTATTTTACACTGTACGTGTGTCAATGCAATACTGTGTCACTTCAATTTGTCTTTTTTTACACTCTTCCCCAGTTCCGTAAGAAGAAGATCCGGTTCTGTAAGTCGCACATCCACGACTGGGGCTTGTTCGCTATGGAGCCAATTGCTGCTGATGAGATGGTGATTGAGTACGTGGGGCAGAACATCAGACAGGTGAGTAGAACACACAACTCTCTTCTCAGTCTGAGGGAGGTGATGTACAGATGGGAAATCCAAAACATCATGCCATACAGGTGAGTGTTAAGCAGGCTGAGTATAAACCCATCCAATCCTGTATCCAGGTGATTGCTGACATGAGGGAGAAGCGTTACGAGGACGAGGGCATTGGGAGCAGCTACATGTTCCGTGTGGACCATGACACCATCATAGACGCCACCAAGTGTGGCAACTTCGCCCGCTTCATCAACCACAGCTGCAATGTAAGTGTCTCTTCTCCTCTCAAGAGCTGGAGCAAAACGTAATCAAGTCAATGTCAATGAATCTACCCAGTTTCACGGTGCTAGGCTAGCAAACACATGGATGCTAACACCACTGTGTTGTTCTTCTCAGCCCAACTGCTACGCTAAGGTGATCACAGTGGAGTCACAGAAAAAGATTGTCATCTACTCCCGACAACCCATCAATGTCAACGAGGAGATCACCTACGACTACAAGTTCCCCATCGAGGATGAGAAGATCCCCTGCTTGTGTGGGGCAGAGAACTGTAGGGGAACGTTGAACTAACGTTAGCCCCTGGCCAAGGGGCAAACCTCCTAGAAAACAACAAGCACTGTCCCAACAAACGTTGTCCCCATTTCCTGGACACAGACAGAGACGGCATGCTAAAAACACAAGGACAGAAGAGGAGGGGTGGAAGAACCAGGGATGAAAACCAACCATTGTCTGGCTACAGTGCAGCTACCTGTCTGGGACTGTTTTTATACGAACAGATATTAACTCAAGATTGTTTATGTTTCTAGGTGCTCTTTAAAACAGAACTAAACATGGGTTTTCTAATAGTCTCCCAGTGACCCTTGAATTTCCACAATGCTGTACCATCTGGCTTCCTGGTGCAGCACTCTTAATTGTCCCTCTTCCATTCAGCATGGTTCCCCCCTTTCTGGTCTTGGCTTATACAGTTTTACCTACTCCCACTTTTTTCATAAGCTTTATGGAGACCACGTGGTACGTAACCCCCCATTCTACCCCTACACACACACACACACACACACACACCATAAGCTGCTCATTGATACTGTTGACACGCACAATGAAAACACTTGTTGCTGTGGGAGGGACACAGCCTCCCCCATGGGAGACGACACTTTTTTCACCATGTGGTGGTCATAGTGGCACAGACAGAAAGTAGGTTTGGGGTCCTGAGAAATGGGTTTGCTTCCCAAGGAGAAGCCTGCGTGGATACCTTCACTTGCTTAACACCCCTTTGTTTTTATAGTAAATGCAGAAAACATATATAATTTAAGCTACAGAATGGTTAATTGTGTCATCAATTCACAAACGTGGATATCACTGGAGATTAATCCACACCTGCTCATACCAGCAAATAATATAGAGTATGCTGCTGTCTGTTACTTTATGCAAAATCAAGGAATACGCTTTCAAAGATTTACAAATGGTATTAAGGTTTATTCCAATGGTTTTTCCATCATTTCTGATGTTACTCTTACCGTCTTGTCTTCCCCAAAAATACTATGTGCTGCCCTCTGTAGGCCGTATTGTAGAAATAGTGAATGGGGAAAAGAACACAAGATGGGTACTGTAGAAATGTATTTACACAATTGAACCTTTACACCGTATTGTAATGTAGTATAGTGTTTTCAAAAGCGACCATAGGCACATAATTCCTTCCATAACAAACTTAGTTATCACTGCACAGTGAGACTGCTAATCGAAGTATACAGATTGTATTGAAATGCTTTGACTTTATGATGCCTTCTCACCTCCAACATGACATCCATCCACAACAGACTGCTTGTTGAGGTTCCCATGTAGAAGGGTTATAAAACTGATTCACCATTTAAAAGACTCTGCCTGTCCTAGGAAATGGTTCAGATCAGTACAGCTGATGAGTGAATAGCGATTCAAACTCGAGTACTATTAGGTTTGCATACTTTTCTTCCTAAAGCTCATCCAATGCTGTCTGGAAACCAAACCGATGCCCACTGCATTTCCAGTGTTTATCTTGAGAAAAGCATTTATTCAATGCACTATAAAGTTGACAACATGACAATGATAGTAAATATAGGTGAAACCTAGCTAAATGGAACTCCAATGTTCTCTATGAAAGCACACAGACTGCAATTAACAGGAACTTTTTACATTATAATTACCTTGACAAAAGCCTTGAAATGGGGAGTGGGATGTGGCTAGAAAAGAAGTCAGTTTATGAATTGAAGTTTATCATAAGTGCCATATCCATGTGTAAGCTTCTGGGGTTTTCATGACTACAAGGCAAAAGTGTTTCTGAAAGCTGCCGCTTGCAACTGTGTTAATGCGCATGCACTTATGAAATGCTGTCTATTTTCACCCGTGTGAATGTGTTTGTATTGTGTGACATGAATGTGTACGTGTGTTGTTTTCCCTCACGGTCTGGTGGTGTGTTGATGACTGGTTTAGGTGTCCTCACCTCATGGTGCTTTTTCAGCCCTCACTGTACAGATAGCTCAGTGTTCTACTCGCCATACAGAAGTGTTTCTAATCTAAAACAATCCATCAGATCTTGCTCTATCTAATCATCACCACACTAAGAACCCCAAGCTCCAATCTTCTGTTTGTGTATGTTTGTCACGTGGGTATTGTCTCTTGTCATTCAGTTTCATGAATCATTAATATTTGTGAATGCACTAGAGGCTTGCACTTCTGCTTACGCCCTCCTAGCCAATCAGAACTCTGAAGACCAAGTAATTAATTGCTTCTCATTCAGTTGGATAGCTTATAAAAAAATGTAACAGTGATGTTTATATTGTACAGGATCACTTGTATAGAAGACCTGAAGCTTTTTTTTTGTCACATGGAGAATACTTAATGATGCATCTTTTTTTTTTTTTAAACAAAAAACACAGTATTTAATGTGGTATTTTCAGGGATCAGTAAAGAAAAAAAGGAATCTGTAAAAAAAAATGTTCCAAGGGTTGAATTGTTTATTTAAAGCAAAGGTGCATCTTGTACAGAAAAAAAGATCTCCACATCCCTTTGAAAGATTGTTTCTTGTAGAAACGTCTTCATTTCCTTTCTAATCTTAAAATATATCAATACTTTAACTGTGAATATATATATATTTTTGTTCCTGGGGATTTGCTACATAAATACAACTCGGAGAGATCTGTGTCAGACAGAGCTGGTGAATGTGGAGCTGGTGGCAGTATTTTCAGCTTGTGTCAAGCTTTATTTTTTATTTTCTGTTGTAAATTCTATGAAAACTTGTTTGCAGTGTGAAGAAGGGGGAAAAAAGCATTATGGTGCAGAAATGGCATAGGAATGGGGTGGAATCACCAGCCTGTTTCTCATGTCTATTACACAAAACATTTATGAAAAAGAATCATGGAAAATAAAGGCATTTTTTTTCCAAATGATTACGAGTTAATTTAACTAAATGTAATGCATTACATTTCAGTGTTCGGACAGAGCAATTACTGGATGATCCAGTTTTATGTACAGTAAATAAATAAAGGTTCCTTCATGTTGGAAACCTCAATGGAGAACACATGCATAACTTCACCCACGATGAGCAACATGAATAAACCAACATTCAGAAATGGGGAGACACTGTCCTTGGATAAACAATGTCCTTCTGTCAGTGTGTAGGCTACAGTTGGGTTCAGGACCAAATTATGTGATTTCTCCCCCATTTCAAGCAGTCAGGCAGTGTCAATCGGGATGCAAGGGACTCCGACTGAGTATGATGTCAATCACTTTATATTATCAATAGCGTCAAGGTATGGTCAGTAAAAAACTAATCACATTTTATTGGTCACATGCGCCGAATACAACAGTTGTAGACTTGGCAGTGAAATGCTTACGTACGAGCCCATTCCCAACAGTGCAGAGTTAAGAAGTAAGACAAATATTTGCTAAATAAAATAGGAAATAGTAACACAAAAACAATAACCAGGCTATATACAAGCAGTACCATTACCGAGTCAATGTGCAGGGGTACATTGTTATCCTCCATGACACAATACACACTTAAACAGCATGTGCGCAATAACAGCTGCCTACCTTGGAAAATATGAAGGACATTTACAACAAACCTGTTACTCACCAGTGTGTGAACCTGTAATAAACGTCAGGAACGTTATGGTTGCCGAAATCATTTTCCAATAAACAAGCACAGCACCTCAATAGGTCTAATTAAAGTCTAAATAAAAATCTAAGAGGCAGGGCTAAGCGGTGTTTAGGGTTCTGTGCAAATGCCAATCTCAAAAAGGGCTGGGAAAGTGAATGTCAAGCTTTTTTTCCTTCTCTGGTCAGTGTAGCGTGTCATTTCCAGTGGTCGTTAATGATGAATGTCACATAACGTGACATTGATGCGAGGAGAGCTTGCCATCTCGCGGCTGAGTACAAATGCCCTGAAGTGGGGAGGTCAATCCTTTTTTATTTATAAAAACGATACAGTATCTGAGTGAAACGGGGGGGGGGGGGGGGGGGGGGGTGCTGCTATGGGAAGCAACACACATCTCACTGTTTAGGAATTTTCCACGTCTCATCTTAATCCCCTGACATTTGGTCACAACGGCTGAAGGATTTCCTTGACAAATGCCAAGACTGATGAAGCATGTATAGCCTAGGCAGACGTAGGTAGGCCTATTCATCCTATGGTATCAAGTTCTCTGCTATCACTACATGCCTAACACAACACAAAAAAGGCAGCTATCCTTCATGATATAATTTATTTGGCATTTGATTAGATGTACATATACCTCAGAAAAATACATAAAGAAACCCCTGCAAAAGCAAACAATTACAATTTAAAAGCTATGAAATAAAATAATACAATTAAATGTATCAGCTATTGCATTTTTTATAACACATTGAAAGTTCCTTTTTCACTCCACCATTTTGTCTATCAATAGCAAATCAACTAGTGTAAATGCAGCAGTTGGGGTTGGGGTCGGGGTCAGGGGTTCCAATGCATTAATCTACATCAACCTGTAGGAAAGCATCTGTGAGCTAAACCTGGGCCGACATAAAATGTTTAAAATTATAAATCTGTTGGAAATAAGTTCTCTCATCATGCCTAGACTAAAACATGCACTGTAGGTCCTACAATAAGATGAAAAAACACTCAAACCAAAAATAGAGAGATCTGATCCCCAAACACCATACACCAAAAGTTTAAGATTTATTTTTTTTACAATTCATGACATGATTTCCTTGGACAATCCACAAAAGGATTGTCTATGCTGAAAAAATTACAAAACAACTAGAGAACATAAAAAAATGCTACATACTGTATATAAACACACAATACACACATAAAGCTGCGATTCTCAAAGCAGATCTTCAGCCATTTCAATGCTGCTGGTGATAGACTTCAGCCAAATAGATGACCATGCTATGTAGATCCTGCCTGGTGAGGACTTGGACCAAACTAGTTCCAAAACCCTCATAGGAGTCCTAGTGCTTTCATAGGCCTGGCATTGTAGCCTTCTAAATCCTTTGGCCTTTCAACTCTACAGGTGAACAAGCAAGACAGAAGAATTGAACAGGGCTCTCACAGGTCTATACACCTCATGAGTCACAATGGGGTCAAAATATGTGGCTTTGCTAGTAGTATTTTTTTTTTTTACTACAGCATTCGACTTTCCTGTCTGTCATTATCATGAAACAGGAGAAAGGGGGATGGCAACCCAATGCCATCTAGGCTACTGTTAAAACCTAACCAGGTAAACCTCCAATGTCATATCACCTTTGCCAAGTTATAGTCTGAATCTAAAATACACTGAGATGACAATGTACATTGATAAGAAAATATATTACAGTGGATACAATGGCAGCTTCCAAAAACGACACAATTGATGATTCTTACACTTCCCCAGGTTATCAGTTATGCTTGCAAAATATATTCAGTTTTAAAATACTTTTTCATGACATTGAAAGCAAATGCACAGAGCTACGTGGCAAACAGGTGATGTGCAAAATGTTGAAAAACAAAGTTGTGTTTTTATATACACATGTGCAGACATACAGTGAGGGGAAAAAAGTATTTGATCCCCTGCTGATTTTGTACATTTGCCCACTGACAAAGAAATGATCAGTCTATAATTTTAATGGTAGGTTTATTTGAACAGTGAGAGACAGAATAACAAAAAAATCTTTAAAAACACATGTCACAAATGTTATAAATTGATTTGCATTTTAATGAGGGAAATACGTTTTGACCCCTCTGCAAAACATGACTTAGTACTTGGTGGCAAAACCCTTGTTGGCAATCACAGAGGTCAGACGTTTCTTGTAGTTGGCAACCAGGTTTGCACACATCTCAGGAGGGATTTTGTCCCACTCCTCTTTGCAGATCTTCTCCAAGTCATTAAGGTTTCGAGGCTGACGTTTGGCAACTCGAACATTCAGCTCCCTCCACAGATTTTCTATGGGATTAAGGTCTGGAGACTGGCTAGGCCACTCCAGGACCTTAATGTGCTTCTTCTTGAGCCACTCCTTTGTTGCCTTGGCCGTGTGTTTTGGGTCATTGTCATGCTGGAATACCCATCCACGACCCATTTTCAATGCCCTGGCTGAGGGAAGGAGGTTCTCACCCAAGTTGACTGTACATGGCCCATCCATCGTCCCTTTGATGCGGTGAAGTTGTCCCGTCCCCTTAGCAGAAAAACACCCCCAAAGCATAATGTTTCCACCGCCATGTTTGACGGTAGGGATGGTGTTCTTGGGGTCATAGGCAGCATTCCTCCTCCTCCAAACACAGCGAGTTGAGTTGATGCCAAAGAGCTCCATTTTGGTCTCATCTGACCACAACACTTTCACCCAGTTCTCCTCTGAATCATTCAGATGTTCATTGGCAAACTTCAGACGGGCATGTATATGTGCTTTCTTGAGCAGGGGGACCTTGCGGGTGCTGCAGGATTTCAGTCCTTCACGGCGTAGTGTGTTACCAATTGTTTTCTTGGTGACTATGGTCCCAGCTGCCTTGAGATCATTGACAAGATCCTCCCGTGTAGTTCTGGGCTGATTCCTCACCGTTTTCATGATCATTGCAGGTGAGATCTTGCATGGAGCCCCAGGCCGAGGGAGATTGACAGTTCTTTTGTGTTTCTTCCATTTGCGAATAATCGCACCAACTGTTGTCACCTTCTCACCAAGCTGCTTGGCGATGGTCTTGTAGCCCATTCCAGCCTTGTGTAGGTCTACAATCTTGTCCCTGACATCCTTGGAGAGCTCTTTGGTCTTGGCCATGGTGGAGAGTTTGGAATCTGATTGATTGATTGCTTCTGTGGACAGGTGTCTTTTATACAGGTAACAAACTGAGATTAGGAGCACTCCCTTTAAGAGTGTGCTCCTAATCTCAGCTCGTTACCTGTATAAAAGACACCTGGGAGCCAGAAATCTCTCATTGAGAGGGGGTCAAATACTTATTTCCCTCATTAAAATGCAAATCAATTTATAACATTTTTGACATGCGTTTTTCTGGATTTTGTTGTTGTCATTCTGTCTCTCACTGTTCAAATAAACCTCCCATTAAAATGATAGACTGATCATTTCTTTGTCAGTGGGCAAACATACAAAATCAGCAGGGGATCAAATACTTTTTTCCCCTCACTCACACATAAGCACAGTCAAGTAACAGATTGGTAAGACATAATTAAATTTAGTATTCATCGTTAATATGATTTCATGAAGAGAACGCTTTATCTAAAGAAGTTTACTTTTACAAATTTCATGATGGGGTATAAAACAGTAAGTAACTACACATGAAAATCTAACCTTAATTCACACTCACCATTGACATTCTCTTTCATGTGGTGAACTATTGACTAACATGGGGGACCCATCATCTATCTTCTTACCCAAGAAAAGGACACAATACTCAACCAATGAACATCTACTTCAACAAGAACTCATGAACAAAATGCAATATTGTAGCAAGATTCTTGTAAAAGTTGTAGTTACCTCATAAAAAAGACATTAACACACAGCAGTGTGTTAGCTGGAGCTAACAATAACCATACCTAAATATTTCTGCAAGGTTACAAAACCTCTTGTAGCAGAACCTCTCATTTTTCTATTTACCATTGTGATATCAATCTGGAACACGTCTTAGCATATCAGATTGATTGGAGAGGGCAGAAATCCAAGTTCAGAGGCAATGCTTGGGACAGGAAAATAATGTATTTCTTTCATAGAGGAGACTTGGGAGAGAGAGCTAAGTCATGTGAGTCATTGTCTCTGTGTTGTCTTTATCGCACTGCTTTGCTTTATCTTGGCCAGGTCGCAGTTGTAAATGAGAACTTGTTCTCAACTGGCCTACCTGGTTAAATAAAGGTGAAATAAAAATAAAAATTGTCAACAACTGACAATCCAAGCTCTGCCTCGGCCTCCAGGACATAAACAGTAGGATGCAAACTAAGAAATGCAAAGGACTTAAGCTGAAGTGGATCCATCTAACCAACACCCCCCCCCCCCCCTTCATTATTAACTGGTGTAATGCCTGAGGGAGTATTTATATTGGGGTCAATCTTGAGCATGAAGCTCAAACAAACCAAATAATTCAAAAGCGTTGTCCAAAGAAAACTACAAAACTAAGCACAGCCTGGTGTAGTGTTGTCGGTCTTCTCTGTACAGAATAATCAGTCTTCCATATCCTTTTGATTGTCTTACTCGCCCGTCTGTGTTCATCTAGAAGAAAGCGGTCTGATCCAGTGCCTTTCTCCCAAGTTCTGACAGACACCCACTTGGTTTCAGTTCACCTGTTCAAGAAACACACCAGTCCGATTCTCCTCACACCTCAAGAAGTGGACTGGTCCATCAGTCTACCCTGATACCGTCTCTACACTGTCTATTGCCATCCCATTCCAGTCTCTTCCCACCCTCTCCTCTAACTAATGGACCCCCATCTGATGGACCAGTCTGGCAATGTCCTCCTCTCTCAGTCTGTGGGTTCAGACGGGAGCAGCACCCCCCCCCAGTCCTATACCACGGTGCTTAGGGAGGAGCTGCTGCTGCAGTCTACAGGCATGGAGTCAGGGGCGTGGCGGGCCCCACCAGGAGGGTGCTGCTGTCGATGGAGTCCTCCCGTTCCTGGGGGGACATTGGCACGGGGTCTGGCTCGGGGACATGTGGCGCTGGGGCATCTGTCATGGCATCTACCACGTCCCTCATCTGACTAGGGATCATCTGAACACCATGGCGTGCTGTGGAGAACAACAAGAACAGTGCTGACAGGGTTCAGAAACAGTTAAGATACTCAACCTAGTATGTGAGTCTAGTAAAAAAATCACAAATGTTACATCACAGGAAGTGAGGAAAACACGTTCACATTAACAGCACAGGGTGATCCTACCGAGGTCCACATAGAGGATACTGTCTGGGTTGATGGAGGCGTCGTAGGGAGGAGGGGGGTCGTCTGGGTGCTGGATGTCAGGGTATTTGTAGGCAGCGTAGGGAGGGGGAGGTTCCTGGAAATGAAATGCGCCTCTCTCTCCATCATCAGAGAGGTGCAGGGGAGTGAGGCCAGTGCCAAAAGCGTCCGGGCCATAGTCAAAGCCTGGGACTCGCCGCCCAAGGTTGAAATGGTGCACTGAGGATAGAGAGAGCAAAGAGAAAGACAGAGTGAGAACAATTGAAACCAACCAATCATCATTCAATGCAGTTGAATGCATAAACATTTGAATACACTGAAGTACCAGAGACAGGCTAGAAGCTAGAACAGGCTGGTAAGGAGAGGCGTTCCCTGTGTTTGTTCAAAGGCCAAACAGGGCTTTCCCCCACGGGATGGCAGCGAACTTGGTGCCATCTGTTGTTTGTAGGAGTGTGATTATATGATGCGTACGGTTACCTCCAATGAGTGTTTCGATGCGCTCGCGTCTGCGCTGCCGGAGCCTGTGCACCATGAAGAGCAGCAGAGAGAGGATGAGGAAGGAGGAGATACAGCTGACGATCAGACGCATCCCACTGGCCATGGAGTCAAACAGGCTGCTGCCTTCTAAAACACAGACAGGATCTACATTTTTATACATTTCAAGTGTTTCTGAATTTTCTCTCCAGAAATTACAGCGCCAAATATTGTTGAGCAACATGACAGGACAAGAGAGATTCAACTTAAGAGCTCCACCTTGTGGAACATTCACAAACACCCATAGTTTCTAGTTTTTGTTCAGGGAATTGTGGGAGTAGTTAGATAGTACCTCGGTCCAGGCAGGTGAACTTGCAGCACTCCTTGGGGTCCTTGCCGAAGTTCTTGCAGCCCTCCGGCCGATTACACAGCGCAGCCACACACATCTCTGGCTCGCCTTCGTGACATGTGCAGCTCAGGCACGGGTCTTCTCCCTTAGGGGTGAAGTAGTACCCCTCGGTCACCACCTGGTCCTTTATGTCCACACATGTCTGCCCTGTTAAAGACAATCAAAGGTTTAAGACCAGAACCAACAAAAAACCATACCTACACTAACACAGGATGCTGGACTTCCCTGATTTGGGTACGCATTTCAGCACCCAAGAATTTCATGAATCTTATGACTCAAACAACCAGGTTTCAGCTGAGCATCTACACTTGTTCCAATCAAGCTACTTTGATCTCCTGTGAAGATGCATAGGTCATTGGGTTTTGATAAGAGCAGACGTACTACTCTTGCACAGAAAGGGGAACTTCTTGTAGCAGTTCTCGGCGTGCCAGCTGTGAAGGCCGCGCTCGTTCATACTCTTGATCTGGAAGCGCTGCAGCTGGGCACAGAAGACATTGTCCTGGGTCGGAGATGCCTCTCCGAAATTAGTCAGGCCCTCTGGCGGCAAGAACACCTGCATCGACCCTGTAAGGGAACAGAGAGAGAAAGAAACCAGATGAATCGTAAGACAAATACAGGTTTAATGCTTTGACCAATCATGGTGGTTAGAGCATGACAATGAGTTGCATCTGCTCCTTTTTGCTTATTTTCAGCGGGATTCAAGCACAATATACTTTAATTAAAATGAACAATGTCCGCACCCACCTTTATATGACACTTCCCAATGGCCCTCCAGTGAATGGTTCTGATTGGTGATTACATACTGGTAACCCACCCAGAACCTGAAAGAGAAAGTGGATGAAATAATAACAAATTAGTCTGCACAGTAAAGAATCTGCTTCAGCCTTCAGGCATTCATATCAACACTATTACTTAATGTAACACATCCTTAGCAAACACACACACACTCACTTGCACTGGTCTCTGCGCTCGCACACTTCCTCGTCGAAATCCACCTCAATCTTGAGGATGAACTGCAGTTCCTCGTTGGTGACGAAGGTCGCCAACGAGCCATTGACTTTCTGACAGGTGTCCACAGCCTGCCAGTAGTTCTCATTCCTCAGGTACACTTTGTAGCAGCTGGCTGTCTTCTCGTAGTGATGCCACCCACTAGGGCACTTCTCTGTGGAGGGGAAAAGTGCTTTAGAGCTCCTACAATAAGTCCAGTAACAAAACTTTCCATCGGTTCTTTTAGCAACAACAAATACAAATATTTTTTGCTAATTTTTTGGGATGAGCAGTGAGTGAAGGATTGATGGAGGGAGAGTTAGACGTTGGTCTTACTGTTAAAGCGCACAGGCTGGGCCACACCGATGACGTCTTCCACTTGGTCAAACTCGTTACCAAACCCATTGGCAAAGTGTAATGTCTCCTCCTTCATGGCTGAAAGGGAGGACGAGAGAGAGAGAGAGAGAGAGAGAGAGAGCGAGAACAGAAGAGGCAGTATTTAAATTGAAGGAATGTACTGTGGTTACTGGCTGCAGTTCATAAAAAACCTTCTGAAGACAGCTTTGTTTATTGTGAAGGAACTTCTCATTAAGGGCATGAAGAAACTGCTTATTTAGTCCATTCACAGGTCATCAATGGCAAAAAAAATCTATTTATTTCTCATGACAATAAATACATATAAAAAAAATTCTGGTTTTTGCCACCATTTATCAAATAATGTAATATGCACACAGTCAAGATTAAACAAGATGGCCGTGTTATAGGAGGTCACATGCTATGTGTGTACCCTATTATGCAGCCAGAGATCAGCGCTTATTCAGGAAGTAATGGAAACAAAACGATTTCCTTCAACCGCTTACTACTGCAATATGGAACCATATCCCCAAGAGAGATCAAAAAACAAAGCTCTCAATAAAAGGTGTTGAGAAAACGTTTACTCAGAATGAGTTTGGTGTTTCCCCTGACATTTAGAAAGTTGTTTCTAAGAAATATAGATCGGCTCTGACCGCTGTTCAAGATATGGCTTATTGTAGTATTTTGGGGATGTACAAAGTCTCTGTCCTTCACTTTGGAGCATGCAATACAATAAAAATGGACATAGTCACGTGATTGTTTGTAGTGATTGGGGGATAAGAGGAAAGAAATCGATAGTTACATATCGCAATATTATTTTGGAAAATACTGTATTGATAATTTGACTCCAAGTATCAATTTGTATTTTTAATAATAATAATAATAATAATAATAAAATGTTTGCTAGGTAGCGTTAGCTAGCGCTAGTCAGATGTACCCGAGCCAGAACTCTGGTATTTTTCATCCTATAGCTTGTTCTCCATCTTGTTTTTAAAATAGTGAGCCTTCAGAAAATATTCATACCCCTTGACTTATTCCACTTTTGTTGTGTTACAGCCGAATTCAAAATTGATTAAATTGATTTTTTTCCTCACCCATCTATACAAAATACCCCATAATTTCAAAGAGTCAATAATACATGTTAGAATCACCTTTGGCAGCGATTACAGCTGTGAGTCTTTCTAGGTACGTCTAAGAGCTTTGCACATCTGGCTTGTACAATATCGGCAAACTATTATTTTTTAAATTCTTCAAGCTCTGTCAAGTTGGTTGTTGATCATTGCTAGACAGCCATTTTCAAGTCTATCCATAGATTTTCAAACCGATTTAAGTAAAAACTGTAACTAGGCCACTCAGGAACATTCAATGTCGTCTTGGTAAACAACTCCTGTGTATATTCGGCCTTGTGTTATAGGTTATTATCCTTCTGAAAGATCAATGTCTCCCAGTGTCTGTTGGAAAGGAGACTGAACCAGGTTTTCCTTTAGGATTTTGCCTGTGCTAAAAAAAAAACTTCCTAGTCCTTGCCGATGATAAGCATATCCATAACATGATGCAGCCACCACCATGCTTGAAAATATGAAGTGGTACTCAGTGATGTGTTGTGTTTGCCCCAAACATAACGCATTATATTCAGGACATAGTTAATTTCTTTGCCACGTTTTATGCAGTTTTACTTAGTGTCTTATTGCAAACAGCATGCATATTTTGGAATATTTTATTTTGTACAGGCTTCCTTCTTTTCACTGTCATTTAGGTTAGTATTGTGGAGTATCTACAATGTTGATCCATCCTCAGTTTTCTCCGATCACAGCTATTAAACTCTGTAACTGTTTTAAAGTCACCATTGGCCTCATGGTGAAACCCCTTAGTGGTTTCCTTCCTCTCAGGCAACAGTTAGGAAGGACACCTGTATCTTTGTAGTGACTGTGTGTATTGATTGATACACCATCCAAAGTGTAATTAATAACTTCACCATGCGCAAAGGGATATTCAATGCCTGCTTTTTTAAATGTATTTTCAAAAATCATGTTAAACACTATTATTGCACACAGTGAGTCCATGCAACTTATTACGTGACTTGTTCAGCATACTTATTTAGGCTTGCCATAACAAAGGGTTTGAATATTTATTGACTCAAGACATTTTAGCTTTTCATTTATTTGTTTTTTTTAAACAATTCCACTTTGACATTATGGGATATTGTATGTAGGCCAGTGCCACAAAATCTAGATTTAATCCATTTTAAATCCAGCCCTAATTGTTTTGAAAAGGGGACTAGAGTTCAGGTTGGAGTCTGGGTAAAGGGTTAAAGATGTTTCACTCACGGGGGCAGTCCAACTCATCGCTCTTGTCCTCACAAGCCGTCCAGCCGTCACACTGCCAGGACATCGGGATGCATTGCATCTTCCCACTGCGGCAGGCAAACTGTCCAGGGCTGCAGCGCAGTTCTGAAACACACCACAGAAGGAGGCTAAAGACATCACACAGTGCCCCCTGTAGTTATGACATGGTCACTGCAACACAGCTTTTATTCTCTCCCAGCCCTGCTAACCAATTGAAAATAACTGAAAGACCAGTCTATGAAAGATTTAGCATTTCCAGCTTTTAGTATCATTACGGAGTCATGTCACTGACTGATAAATAAGAAAAAAGGTTTTCACCATTTATCATGCACAATACGTTAACAATGCACCTGATGCTTTCTATAATAAAAAATGTCTAGGAAACAAATGAATAAAATAAAGCATCAAGGGAAAAACTGGAACGGAATGCAGCCATATCTCTCAAGTATTTTGACTTAGTTCAATTCAGGTCTGGTGCTTAAAATAAAACATATTAGCTACATCTAAACACTCATATCATTATCACTAAAACAGGGGTTATCATTGTGAGTGTTTTTGAGAACTGCGCTTAGAAACAACTCACAAAAATATAATGAGAAACAGTAGAAATGAGGGACATACATTAGGGCCTAACAATGTATCTAAAAAAAGGCCTTCCCAAAAAAGGTATGTTAGCCTAAAGGGTCCAGAACAAGAACAGTTAGCATAAAGGGTCCAGAACAAGAACAGTTAGCATAAAGGGGTCATATAACAGAATAAGACAAGACCTAAGCATAACCTTATTTTACTTTAGTGTCTACCCCTATATCCATTAGTAACACAGGGGCAGTATTAAGTGGGTCAGCGTCTCTGAGCCATGTGTGATTAACATGAGACTTGCCACAGCATCAGGGGCTGCCTGTCAGGGCTTCTCCCGTGAGGTGAGGGAGTATTAGGCCTAGCTGTTTAAGAAAGCAAATATAACTCTTCCCTCTATGGCACTGAACAGATAGTCTAGACAATAACACAGGATTCTTTGAAAATAGCTCAATATTGTTGAACGAGTTGATTGCATAAAAACTGTTAAGAGAAAATACTGAGTTAATGGAAAAACAAAGCACTGCTGTGAATGGGAATATTCAGAGGCACAAGCTGAGGATAGAGAATAGAACAAAGTAACCCAAATAGCTGGAGACTGGCAGACCTATATATACACTGCACTAACAGAGGAGATGCTGCTTACCTGACAATAATCTTGCCAGAGCTAGCCTTGGACCTGAAACAAAACAAAAAGCAATTTCTGATGAACTAACCCTTTAAATCTCAACACATTCCTAGTTGGGAATGTTCCACCACATAATATATGCTATTTAGCAGACACTTTTATCCAAAGTGATATACAGTCATGCGCAGCGTGCATACATTTTACGTATTGGTGGTCCTGGAAATCGAACCCACTACCCTGGCGTTACAAGCGCCATGCTCGACCAACTGAGCTACAAAAGGACCACACCATTTTTTATTTGATTTAACCTTTATTTAACCAGGTAAACCAGTTGAGAACAAGTTCTCATTTACAACTGCGACCTGGCCAAGATAAAGCAAAGCAGTGCGATAAAAACAACACAGAGTTACATATGGGGTAAAACAAAAAAGTCAAAAATACAACAGAAAATATATATACAGTGTGTGCAAATGTAGCAAGTTATGGAGGTAAGGCAATAAATTGGCCATAGTGCAAAATAATTACAATTTAGTATTAACACTGGAGTGATAGATGTGCAGAAGAAGATGTGCAAATAGAGATACTGGGGAGCAAATTAGCAAAATAAATAACAATATGGGGATGAGGTAGTTGGGTGGGCTAATTTCAGATGGGCTGTGAACAGGTGCAGTGATTGGTAAGCTGCTCTGACAACTGATGCTTAAAGTTAGTGAGGGAGATAAGTGTCTCCAGCTTCAGAGATTTTTGCAATTCGTTCCAGTCATTAGCAGCAGAGAACTGGAAGGAATGGCGGCCAAAGGAGGTGTTGGCTTTGGGGATGACCAGTGAGATATACCTGCTGGAGCGCATACTACGGGTGGGTGTTGCTATGGTGACCAATGAGCTAAGATAAGGAGGGGATTTGCCTAGCAGTGATTTATAGATGACCTGGAGCCAGTGGGTTTGGCGACAAATATGTAGTGAAGAACAGCCAACAAGAGCGTACAGGTCACCGTGGTGGGTAGTATATGGGGCTTTGGTGACAAAATGGATGGCACTGTGATAGACTACATCCAATTTGCTGAGTAGAGTGTTGGAGGCTATTTTGTAAATGACATCGCCGAAGTCAAGGATCGGTAGGATAGTCAGTTTAACGAGGGCATGTTTGGCAGCATGAGTGAAGGAGGCTTTGTTGCAAAATAGGAATCCGATTCTAGATTTAACTTTGGATTGGAGATTCTTAATGTGAGTCTGGAAGGATAGTTTACAGTCTAACCAGACACCTAGGTATTTGTAGTTGTCCACATAATCTAGGTCAGACCCACAGAGAGTAGTGATTCTACTTGTATTGGTTGAGTACACATATTTTGCAGATGTTAATCACAGGTGCAGTGAAATGCTTAGGTTTCTAGCTCCAACATTGCAGTAATACAAAAAACACACAAATCCAAAAGAAAGAAATGAAGAAATATCAAATGCACAATGTCAGAGTCCAGATACACTACATGTACAAAAGTATGTGGACACCTGCTCATCGAACATCTCATTGCAAAATCACGGGCATTAATATGGAGTTGGTCCCCCCTTTGCTGCTTTGCTGCCTCCACTCTTCTGGGAAGGCTTTCCACTAGATATTGGATATTGCTGCAGGGACTTGGTTCCATTAAGCCACAAGAGCATTAGTGAGGTCAGGTACTGATGTTGGGCGATTAGGCCTGGCTCGCAGTCGGTGTTCGATTGGGTTGAGGTCAGGGCTCTGTGCAGGCCAGTCAAGTTCTTCCACACTGATCTCAACAAACCATTTCTGTATGGACCTCGCTTTGTGCACAGGAAAAGGGCCTTCCCCAAACTGTTGCCACAAAGTTAGAAGCACAGAATCGTGTAGAATGTTATTGAATGCTTGGCAAACTCCAAGCGGGCTGTCATGTGCTTTTTACTGAGGAGTGGCTTCCGTCTGGCCACTCTACCATAAAGGTCTGATTGGTGGAGTGCTGCAGAGATGGTTGTCATTCTGGAAGGTTCTCCCATCTCCACAGAGGAACTCAGGATCTCTGTCAGAGGCCCTTCTCCCCCGATTGCAATCTCCTGTCTCGGAGCTCTATGGACAATTCCTTTTGACCTCGTGGCTTAGTTTTTGCTCTGACATGTACTGTCAACTGTGGGACAATATATAGACAGGTGTGTGCCTTTCTAAATCATGTCCAATTAATTGAATTTACCACAGGTGGACTCCAATCAAGTTGTAGAAACATCTCTAGGATGATCAATGGAAACAGGATGCACCGGAGCTCAACTTCAAGTCTCATTGCAAAGGGTCTGAATAATTATGTAAATAAGGTATTATTTTAAAAATTATACATTTGCAAACATTTATATAAACCTGTTTTCGCTTTGTGATTATGGGGTATTGTGTGTAGATTGATGAGGAAAATGTTTATTTAATCAATTTTAGAATAAGGCTGTAACATAACAAAATTAGGAAAAAGGGAACTTTCCGAATGCACTGTTGCTTTAAGATATTTTATAATTTCTCTCCCTCCTAAGGAGGAAGGATAATGAAAGTTCACAGATGTAACGAGTAAAGGTAGATCTATCAATTAGTTTGTGTTTTTAATGACATCAACTTCATTTATAATGTATTATTAAGGGATTAAAAATCAAAAAAAATCTGTAGTGGGAAATCATAGTAGTCACAAACCACAGTTGGGTTCACAAGTTTAGACAGTACAGTAAATTAAAGTACAGCACAGTTCAGTACATAAATGTATGAATGTGTTATTCAATGCATTTCTATAGGCTATAGTAGAAAAGGCCAAATTCAATATTTTATCCCCCCCCCCCAAAAAAAAAAAGATATATATATTTTATTACTTAAAGGGGTCCTAAAATTCCAAATCTAATAGCTAAATGATTCATGGTATGACTATCTTAAAACAATTCCATATGTTAGCTTAGTAGAACCCCTCCCAACGGCTTTTAGAGGTTAAACCCCACCCATTGCCACCTGAACACCTGTTATACTGACAGAGTAGGCTAATCTCCAGTCAATGACCTTAGATACACTCTGAGCCAACAATATTAAAAAGTTACAGCATTTATGCCATTGCTTATTCAACTACACAAACTAGGCATTTCATGAGGATCAAGAGAGTGTGTGAGCTCTAAAACAGATCTCAGGTGTGCAAAAGGCAATAATATCCCAAATCAGGCGTAATATAAAAGGGTATTTGAAATGAGTATGAGATCGTTCTAACCTTCCTAATGTTGTCAGAGCAGCTTACCGATCACTGCACCTGTACACAGCCCATCTGTAATTAGCCCACCCAACTACCTCATCCCCATATTGTTATTTATTTTGCTAATTTGCACCCCAGTATCTCTATTTGCACATCATCTTCTGCACATCTATCACTCCAGTGTTAATACTAAATTGTAATTATTTTGCACTATAGGCTATTTATTACCTTACCTCCATAACTTACTACATTTGCACACACTGTATATAGATTTTCTATTGTGTTTTTGACTGTACGTTTTGTTTATTCCATATGTAACTCTGTGTTGTTGTTTTTAATCGCACTGCTTTGCTTTATCTTGGCCAGGTCGCAGTTGTAAATGAGAACTTGTTCTCAACTGGCTTACCTGGTTAAATAAAAGGTGGGAAAAAAAGGCTTCAGGGAGACAACACCGCTTCTTCCTGCAGATTGATGATCAACAGATATGGTCAAGTGGAAGTGAGTGGAGCTATTTGATCAGAGATGGAGCACTACCACAAATCTGAAGGTTCTGTGTTCTCAACCACAACCACACCACACACAATCACTGCATTATTATTAGTATCTAGCTAGGTAGCTACTGTAATAACTATAACGCAATGGCATGTCTTACTTGATGGTCACATGCATCAAAACGAGACTACAGTATAAACTAAAGGTCAATGCAAAGTGAGTAGCAAGTTGATGTTGATGGAGAAGCAACTACAATGCTTTTCGTATTTCAGGTAGATTTAAAATCAAATTAACTAACTAAGGCCACAACATTAGATAGCAATCTATAGCTAACATAAAGCAACATATGGGCCAGTCTTGTGTTGCTCCTTCGACGTAGCAAGCTAACGTTAGCTGGCTAGCTAGCTCTCTGGTGTA